AGGAGGAGGAGGAGGAGGAGGAGGAAGAGGAGCAGGAAGAGGAGCAAAGGGAGGAGGAGGAGGAGGAAGATGAAATGGAGAGTATGAGGAAAGAATGAAGAAGGAGGAGATGGGGGGAAGGGAAAGAGAAGGAGAATGAGGAAGAGGAGGAAAGAGAGGAGGAGGAGGAGGAGGAGGAGGAAGAGGAGGAGAAGGAGGAGGAAAGGGGGGAGGAAGAGGAGGAGGAGGAGGAGAAGGAGGAGGAAAGGGGGGGAGGAGGAGGAGGAGGAGGAAGAGGAGCAGGAAGAGGAGCAAAGGGAGGAGGAGGAGGAGGAAGATGAAATGGAGAGTATAAGGAAAGAATGAAGAAGGAGGAGATGGGGGGAAGGAAAGAGAAGGAGAATGAGGAAGAGGAGGAAAGAGAGGAGGAGGAGGAGGAGGAGGAGGAAGAGGAGGAGGAAGAGGAGTAAAGGGAGGAGGAGGAGGAAGATGAAATGGAGAGTATAAGGAAAGAATGAAGAAGGAGGAGATGGGGAAAAGGACGAAGAAGGAGAATGAGGAATAGGAGGAAAGGGAGGAGGAGGAGGAAGAGGAAATGGAGATTATGAGGAAAGAATGAAGAAGGGAAAGTAGGAATAAAATGGACATAATAACGTGATGAGATTGAGAGAAAGAGACAACTTGACGGATGACTAAAGGCAGAAAAAGGAGAGGAGGAAAAAAGAGACAGACAGACAGATAGAGAGGAAGAAAGGGAGGGCGGAGGGAAGGCCAAATGAAAGGGAGGAGAGAGGGAGGAAGGGAATTGAAAGGAAGGAGAGAAAGGGGAGAGGGAAAGAGAAAATTCAGAAAAGAGTCTCTCTCTTCTTCTCCCTTTTCTTCTCCCTCTTCCTCTTCCTTTTCCTCTCCCCGCCCCCACTCTTCTTCAACCCGTTCTATATTTTCAACAAATATTTGAGAGAACAAGAGAAGAAGAAGCGAACAAGAAAAAATCCTGAACAATGTGTTTAGAATTCTTGAACAATTGTCTTTCAGGGCTTCAGGTAGCCGGGGTGAGCCACGTTTTTTTTTTTCTTTCTTTTTTTTTGTCCATGCGTTGATGAGGTTCATAATGACTATCTCGCCCCCCACCCCCCTTTCCATCTCCCCCCCTCCTCCTCCTCCTCTCGGTTCCTGCTTCTCTCGCCCTCCTCTTCCCCCTCTCTCCCCCTTCTCCTCTCCTCCCCCAACCTCTTCCTCTTCTCCCCCCTCCTCCTCCTCCTCCTCCTCCTCCTCCTCCTCCTCCTCCTCCTCCCCCCCCCCCCCTCCTCCGCTCCTCTCCCCCCTTTCTCGCACCCCCTTCAACCCCACTTTCCTCGGCTTCTTTTCCACGCACCATCCTCCTCCGTCCTGCCCAGCCCTCTCCTAACTCTCTATCACCCCCCCCCCCTCCCATCTTCCCAACCCTTTCCTTACGCCCTGCCTGCACCCTGTCGTCCCCCCCCCCCCCTCCTCCCCCTCCTATCACCTCCCCTTCATCCCCTCCGCTTTCGCCTCTGCTTCCCCTTCTTAATCTCCTTCGTGCGTTTAGTGAGAAATTTTGCTTCCCTTTTTCGTCGTCAAGTAACTACTGGCTGGCGGAAAGGGCTTAGGGGGGGGGGGGGGTAAGAGGTAGGGGGGGGTGATGTTCTGCATCAGCCATCAGTCAGGTGCTGATGGATGACGTCACTTGATGCTTTACCTCTCTCCCTCTCTTTCTTTTTTTTCTCTCTCTCTTCTCTCTTCTCTCTCTGTCTGGCTGCCTGTCTCTATGTTTCTCTCTCTCTCTCTCTCTCTCTCTCTCTCTCTCTCTCTCTCTCTCTCTCTCTCTCTCTCTCTCTCTCTCTCTCTCTCTCTCTCTCTCTCTCTCTTATTTCATCTCTGTCCATCACTGCTCTTTGATTCATGTGTTCTTAACCCTTTTTGTGCCCAATGCCTCATACTCTGCGATCTCTCCTTTTCTCCTCCCTCGTCTCTTTCTCTCTTCTCTTTTCCTCCTTCCTTCATTCTCTTTCATTTGCTCTTTCCCTTCCTGTGCCTTCGTTTCGCATTGGTTGTAATCTTTGTTGGTTTTGCAATTGTTTCTTTCTAGATTTGATAAATATTTTTCCTTCTGTTTACTTCCCCTCGGCTTGCTCACACACTTGACTATTCATCCCCAGTCATTCATTTTTATTCGTCTAATTTCATTTTATTCTAATTTATTCTCTCCTGTCTTTGTTCCCTCTCTCTCTGGCTCATTTTCAAAAAAAAAAAAAAAATCTTTCTCTCCCCCTCCTCCTAGTTATTCCTTCCCTGTTTAAGCGTTTATTCATTGTCAAACACTCCAGCCGTATTCCGTGTCTCTCCTCCCCTTGCCAGCGCGAGGGGCCTTGTGTGTCGGTATGTAGGTGTGTGTGTGTCGGAGTGTGTTGGGGTGTATAGGTATGTGTGTGCGCATTAGTGTACGTTTGTGTTTGCGTTTGTGTTGGTGTCTGTTTGTTCTCTTTCCCTCTTTCTTTCTTTCTTTCCCTTTCCCTCTCCCACTGCCTCACAGCCTCTCTCTCTCTCGCCATCTCCCACCTTCTCCTTTTCTCCGAGGCCCTTCCTTTCCCTCTCTTTCTCCTTCTCAGTCTCCTTCTTTATCCCTCACTTCATCCATCCATCCATCCATCTCGCCCTCTCTTCCCTTCTCCATCTCCTCTCAGCCCCCTCCTTCCCCCTCCCCCCCCCTTCCGAGCTCCCTCGCACTGCATCTCCGGATTCAGCGAATTCTTTATTTCCGAAGCTGCTCCTCTTGCTCTCCCCTTTCTCCCCTTTCCTCTCAGTTACCACGTTCTCCTTCCTCCCTCTTTTTTTATCCCCTCTTCCCTCACACGCTTACCTCTCCGTCCTCGCTTCCCCTCCTTTCCTGCTCCCCTCCCCCCCTCCTCCCCCTCCGTGCCTTCCATATCCTGCAGTGCGCCGGGCCGTCCACCCGTGCGGCAGCCATCATATCCTCTCCCCGTCTCTCCTCACCCCTTTTCTACTCTCGATTAGCTCATTCCCCCTTTCCTGATCACCCCTTCGCTCGCCTCTCTCTCCCTCTCTTCCTCTCTTTCTTTCCCTCTGCCTCTCTCTTTCCCTCGGCCTCTCTCTCTTTCCCTCTGCCTCTCTCTCCCTCTCTTCCTCTCTTTCTTTCCCTCTGCCTCTCTCTCCTTCCTTCTGCCTCTCTCTCTTTCCCTCTGACTTTCTCTCTCTCTCTCTCTTTCTCTCTCTCTCTCTCTCTCTCTCTCTCTCTCTCTCTCTCTCTCTCTCTCCCTCTCCCTCTCTCCCTCTCTCCCTCTCTCCCTCTCTCCCTCTCTCTCCCCCCCCCTCTCTCTCTCTCTCTCTCTCTCTCTCTCTCTCTCTCTCTCTCTCTCTCTCTCTCTCTCTCTCTCTCTCTCTCTCTCTCTCTCTCTCTCTCTCTCCCTCCCTCCCTCCCTCCCTCCCTCCCTCTCTCTCTAGATCTTTCTTTTTGTTGGTCTTTTATTTATCTCTATCTTATTTTTACATGTTAGCCTCCTACTGCCATTTCCCTGCACACCCTCTTTCATTTTCTTTGTTTCATCTCTCTGCTCTCATCTCCATTTATACAGTTCTATTTTTCTCTCTCCCTCCCTCCCTCCCTCCCTCCTTCCCTCTCTCCCTCCTTCCCTCTCTCCCTTGCACTCTCCCTCCCACCTTTCCCTCTACCTCCTTCCCTGCCCTCCTTCCCCACTCTTTCCCAACCCTCTCTTCTCTCTTTCCCCCTTCCCTCCCTCCCTCCCTCCCTCCCTCCCTCCCTCCCTCCCTCCCTCCCTCCTTTCTTTACTCTCTCCCTCCTTCCCTCTCTCCCTTGCACTCTCCCTCCCACCTTTCCCTCTACCTCCTTCCCTGCCCTCCTTCCCCACTCTTTCCCAACCAACTCTTCTCTCTTTCCCCCTTCCCTCCCTCCCTCCCTCCCTCCCTCCCTCCCTCCCTCCCTCCCTCCTTCCTTCTCTCCCTCCTACCCTGCTCTCCTTTCCCACTCTTTCCCAACCCTCTCTTCTCTCTTTCCCCCTTCCCTCCCTCCCTCCCTCCCTCCCGTCCCTCCCTCCTTTCTTTACTCTCTCGCGTTCATCCTCGCTTCCCTGCCTGACCCTCCAGCATCGGCTATTATCTCGGGAAATTGGAGTTTGTGTTTTAAAATGACTTGGCGGCGCTTTGAAAGGAACTTCATTACTGTGGCCACGCGACCTGTGCTGGGGGTGCAGGGTAGGGGGTGGGGGGGGTAGAGGAGATGGGGGAGGGGGGAGGGGGAGGGAGGTTGGGTGTTAAGAGTCGGGGTGGGGGTGGGGGTAAGGGTGGGGGGGAGGGGATAAGTGTGTGTAGGTGTTTGGATAGGGTTCGTGATGGGGTCCATGTGGGGGGGGGGGAGAGGAGAGGGGGAGAATGGGGATTGGAAGAGGATAAAGGGGGGGAGCGAGTGATTATAAGGGGAAGTCATTTACCTTTTATTTGTGTTAATGTGTGGGTAATGGGTTAATGGAGGCATCGGCAGAGGGAAGGGGAGGATGCCTCAAGAGACAAACAAAGAGGGAGAGAGAGAGAGAGAGAGAGAGAGAGAGAGAGAGAGAGAGAGAGAGAGAGAGAGAGAGAGAGAGAGAGAGAGAGAGAGAGAGAGAGAGAGAGAGAGATGGGGGGGGGATGACTAGAAATATTTTAAGAAGTCAAAGACGGTGAATAGGAAGCTAGGTTGCGAGAGGAGCGGAGAGAGAACGAGGAGAGCAAGAATGATAATGATGAGAGGAGGAGAGAGAGAGAGAGAAGGCGAGGTCGTCAGCCCGGCCAATGTCCCCCATCCGAGGGCCGTTATCGTTTTTCCCCTCTCCCCATCGAGTGGCGTTTAGTCTTTAAACAGCCATTGTCCAGCTTAATGAAACTGTTGAAGCGGCCTCGTCGCTCGCCCCGCCAGGCCCGCGCCGCCCTGCGCCCAAATTAATTGTTTGACCTGCACGTCCAGGCTCTACCTTATTAGTCCCAGTCTAATTGTTGCTGGCTCCTGCAGGGCCGCGCCGAGGCCGAGGGGAAGGAGAGGAAGGCGGCGAGGGTCGAGGATGAGGGGCGAGGGCCGAGGATGAGGGGCGAGGGGAAGGTGAGGCAGGGGCGGCGAGGGGCCGAGGACGAGGGGCGAGGGCCGAGGACGAGGGGCGAGGGCCGAGGCGTGAGGGCCAAGGGGAGGAAGGGAAAGGGCAGCAAAGGGTTCCTCCGAGGGGCGAGGGCCAAGGGGTGAGACTTGAGGGGAAGGAGAGAAGGGGCTCCGAGGGGCGAGGGCCGAGGGGAAGGAGGGAAGGGGTAGCGAGAGGTTCCTCCGAAGGGGAGGTACGAGAGGCTCCTGAAAGGGGTTCCTGCAAGAGGCCAGGCGGGGAGGGAGGAAAAGGACGGGGGAGGGAGGGAGGAGGGAGGGAGGGAGGGGCGGGGGTCGCTTCGGGAGTGAGGAGAAGGCCGGGCGGAGCGGAAGAACGGTTGCACAGGACTGCAAGGGGTCGGCAGCATTGTTGCAGAGGGCGAAAAGGTCGATAGGGGACGGCAAGGGAAAGGGGGAAGGCCTGATGCTATAGTTAGTTACGAGGGCTGAAGGCAGTCGATAGTGTAGTTTACGGGGGGCGGAAAGGGCGCCACACTGCGGGAGAAAAGAGCCGTTCGTGCCGTGTGTCGGCGAGAGAAAGACTGTCATGGGTCGATGTAATATGGCGAATAGGCCGATTCATGTAGTTTTGATCGAGGAGGCGATGTATTTACAGGCTATAAACAGGTCGATGGAAGAGTTAAGGGAAATTAGATATAAAGGTGTGGTCGGCGAAGTAAAAACAGAAAAGGGAAAGAGAGAGGAACAGACGCAGAGACACTGACTGATTGATAGACGGACGGACGGACAGAAGGAATGAGAAAATAATATATAATATATATATATATATATATATATATATATATATATATATATATATATATATATATATATATATATCGAAGACACGACACAAGGTTTCTTAATGGAAAGGAGGTGTAAGCAACCTAAAAAGGTTGTGGGGAGGGAGGGGGGAGGGGGGGAGGGGGGGTAGGGCGAAGGGCGTTCCTCCAAAGGCTCGGCTGAGCGCGGTTGACGGACAGAATGAATTGAAAGGGAGCCGATGTAATAAGGCCGGGAGAGAGGCCCCGTACCTGCTAGAATGGGCTTGGATGGATTAGCAAATGGGGATGTCAGGGTATGTATATATGTATGTATGTATGCATTGGCTGGCAAGTTGATTGGGCGAAACTGCATTAGTTCAGGGGAAGGGCCGGAGGCGGGCAGGTCAGGCGGGTAGCGGGGTTTTTCGTCTTCTTTGCTTTTTGGCACTTCTTCGTCTTTGTTTTCTTTGTTATCTTGGTTTTCGTTTGTGTCTTCTTCTTCTTCTTCTTCCTCTTCTTCCTCTTCTTCTTCCTCCTCCTCCTCCTCCTCCTCCTCCTCCTCCTCCTCCTCCTCCTCCTCCTCCTCCTCCTCCTCCTCCTCCTCCTCCTCCTCCTCCTCCTCCTCCTATTCTTCTTCCTCTTCCTCTTCTTTTATTTCAGAAGGGAGGGAATATTGGGTAAAGTGGATTACTTCTCTCCTCTCTCTAAGGTAAAAGGAAAGTTATGAATACAATAGACTTTTTGGGATTGTGAATTTATTTTATTATTTTTTAATGTCCATGCAGAGCAGGTAATAGTTTGCGAGCAGGTCGGCAAACAAGGGCGTGTATGGAGAGATCGAACGTTTCATTCTGTTTCGTTTATTCTCCGTCGTTTTAATTGTTTAGATCCATTTTATGCGGACGGTTCTGAGCGTAGCAATCAGTCCGGACCGAGGAGAATTAAAAGAAATATTTATATATATATATAAAAAGAATGGAAAATGAAGAGTAGGGGGAAATAGATTGATGATTTGGCAATCAGCCGGTGAGCGTGGAGTGGGTGAGTGAATAAATGGATGGATGGATGAATGAGTGAAGGTAGGAAGGGGTGAAGGAATGGATAAGCAGGCAGGTAGGCAGGCAGGCAGTCAGTCAGGCAGGTAGGCAGGTAGGCAGGCAGGCAGGCAGGCAGGCAGGTAGACAGGCAGGCAGGCAGGCTGGCTGGCTGGCTGGCTGGCTTACAGACAGGCAGACAGACAGACAGACAGACAGGAGAAATCTCAGTAAAAAGACAAATAGATAGACAGATAGATAGACAGGCAGACAGACAGACAGGAGAAATTTCAGTAAAAAGACAAATAGATAGACAGATAGATAAACAGGCAGACAGAACGACAGACAGACAGGAGGAATCTCAGTAAAAGACAAACAGACAGATAGACAGGCAGACAGGCAGGCAGGCAGGCAGGCAGGCAGGCAGGCAGGCAGGCAGGCAGGCAGTTGGACAGTCGGAGGCCATGGCGGAACCCCAAATTCCATTAGGCGCGCTGTCAAGCCTCGTCAAACGCATAACTGGCACCATAAGAATTTATCTGGCGCAATTACCTCGCCC